CGGGGCGGCGCAGAGGGGCTGCGGAGCGACCGGGATTCCCTGCGGAACTGCGCGGCCCCTGGCTCCCAGTCTCCAGCCCGCCTGTCGCCGGCCCACCGCGACCGCTGCGCCCTCCGGCCCTCACGACGAGCCGGTGAGTGCCCCAGTTGGGCCTGTCGCCTCGCGCCCCTCCCCGGCCTGGCGCCTTCTCCCAGCGCGGCGCGCCCCAGCGCCCAAGCCCTGCGCCCTGCGGACGTGCTAGGCCGCTCCTTCTCAGCCCCTGCCGACTCCGAAGAACCTCCCCGGGAACCTCTGAAGCCCGGGCAGTGGAGGAGGCGAGCTCTCCGTGTTGCGGCTGCGCCAGGGATGCCCCACGGGCGGCTCGGGGCCGCCCCCCGCCCCCCGCCGTTCTGCCCCCGCGGGTTCCAGGACTCGCCCCAAGAACGACCCGGCTGGGGAGTGGGCAGCGCAGACTGAGAGGCAGCACCTGCCGGACACGAGCGCGGGCGCTGGCAGGGGCGCACTGCCGCGGTGACTTCGACGCCGGTCCCTCTTCCCCGCAGGTCAAGGCCGAGCCCGGGAAGATGTACCAGAGCCTGGCGCTGGCCCCGAGCCCCGGCCAGGCCGCCTACGCCGACTCGGGCGCCTTTCTGCACGCGCCGGGCGCCGGCTCCCCGGTGTTCCTGCCGCCGGCGCGCGTCCCCTCCATGCTGCCCTACCTGCCGGCGTGTGAGCCGGGCCCGCAGCCCCCGGCGCTCGGCGCGCACCCCAACTGGGCGCAGGCGGCCGCGGCAGACTCGTCATCCTTCGGCTCCGGCAGCCCGCACCCGCCGGCCGCTCAGCCTCCCGGGGCCACCGCCTTCCCTTTCGCGCACAGCCCCCCGGGGTCTGGCGGCGGTGGCAGCGCCGGGAGCCGGGACGGCGGCGCCTATCAGGGCGCAATGCTGGCTCGAGAGCAGTACTCGGCCCCGCTCGGGCGGCCCATGGGTGCCTCATACCCCACCGCGTACCCGGCCTACGTGAGCACCGAGGTGGCCCCGTCCTGGACCTCCGGACCCTTCGACAGCAGCGTCCTGCACGGCCTCCAGGGCCGCCCGGCTGGCCTTCCGGGCCGCAGAGCCACTTTCGGTGAGTGCGGGCCTGGGAGGCGGCTCCACTGACTTGGGTCCTGGGTGCTGGCGGTAGCCAGGTGCAAACCCGCACCCTACGAAATGCACCCCCCACCACCACCACGTCAGTGTTTTCCTGGCCAGGTCAGCCTCAGCATGGGGCAGACCCAGAACTCTGGGGACACGTTCGGCTGGGCGGAATACAGCCTCCGCCACAATCTCACCCACCCCAGATGAAAAACACTGGGGCCTGAGGTCTTCTTTTACACGTTAGTGAGAAAGTATATGTATTTCTACCCTTCATTCCTCCGAACCCAACATTCTGGATCTTGCCAATTTAGAGGCTACCTCTTAAACGTTTTTATGAAAAGTTTTGGAAATGATTTTTATAAAGTTCAAACTACCGGTTTATTTAAGCAAGCCGCCACATTCATCTCTGTTCTAGAATGTTTACATATTCTAATTTGAGACCTGGTTTCAATCGCTCCCCGGGGTATGAGTTTGGATAATCGGATTCCAGGCCTGTAAAGCGCAGAATCGCTCCACCCGGTTTCTGAGTAGTCGGACTTTCTCATCCCTGCGGCCGGCCGAAAACCGAGGGCCACGCCTGTTTGCTGCCCGCAGGGACCCCCTTGGGCCATCCCTCCCGGGCGGGTGGAGACGTCGCCGCCGCTCCGGAGCGGCCTTTTGGCCCTCGCCGGCTCCTCGGCGCAGGAAGCGGGGTCCCCTTGGCCCCGGTGACGCGGGGCAGCCCCGCGCCTGGCGCCCACCCCCGGCCGGGTGATGATTGATCCCTGCCCCGCCCCCACCCGGCGCCCGGGCCGCCCGCGCGTCGCCGGCGCCTGGCCCAGCCTGGAGGGGAACAGGGAACCTCGCCCGCCGCGCCCCGTGCGCGCGCCCCGTGCGCGCGATGGAGGCCGAGCTGTGCTGCCTTCAGAGGGAGGACGGAGCACCACAGCAAAGCTGGCGGTCAAGGCCCCATAGCCCCTGTAGGATCTGTTTCAGCGTCGCCACCGCCGCCCCTCCGGACCGTCCCACTTCGCAGAGGTGAAGGCCCTTCGGCCCCTCCCTCCGTCAGTGTGGACGCTCCTGCCTCCCGGGATCAAAGTTACGGGCGCCAGTGCTGGACCCGGTTCAGAGGGGGGTGGCTCCCTGTTGTCCCCTTGAGGTCTATTAACCAGCCCCCACAGCTTATAAAAAGTGTTTTAAGTCTGGCACGAACTTTATGTAAATTTAAAATTAGAAATAAAATTAGATAAAATAAATTTTAAAATAAAATACATTTAAGGCACACACAATAAAAGGCAAGAGTGCTGCGGACGCCCGCGGGCGCCGGAGGACAGAGCCTCCGCCCACGAGCTGCCTGTCCCCGCAGTGTCCGACTTCCTGGAGGAGCTCCCCGGCGAGGGTCGCGAGTGCGTCAACTGCGGGGCCCTGTCCACGCCACTGTGGCGCCGCGACGGCACCGGCCACTACCTGTGCAACGCATGCGGCCTCTACCACAAGATGAACGGCGTCAACCGGCCGCTCGTGCGGCCGCAGAAGCGCCTGGTGAGTGCGGCGGCCGCTCCCCGACCGCGCGGGTCCTGGGCGGGCCGGGCTGGCAGCGCTGCGGGGAGGCTCGGGACGCGAGGGACAGGCGCAGCGCCCGGACGCACGCGGGGTCCACCCCGGCCCGCAGCCGCCCGCAGCAGGGAGCGCCCCGGGGAGCTGGGAGGCCCAGGCTGGGGTGACAGCGCCTGCCTCGCTGCTCCGGGATCCCCGCGCTTGGGGCTGAGCGGGCGCCGGGTCTGCGGGGTCTCCCGGGAAGGGATCGGCTGCCCAGCGAGCTCTGCCCCGGGACCCGGCTGGGCAGGACAGGGATGTGGACCCCGACTGCCCACTGGGGCTCAGCCCTGCAGCTCCGAGGGTGACAGGGGCTTCCACCTGGCTGGGTGGTAGGTCGCAAGGTGACCTGGCCCTGGGGCTGGGGCTGGAGGGGAAGGCGGCTGCTGGGGGGATGCTTTGTGGAGGCCGTGGAAATCCTGCACGGGAGGGGCTCTGGACTCACTACCCCTTGGGGAGCACTTTCTACACTTCTACCCCATACTGCAGGGATGGGGCTGACACCAGGTCTATGGCCGTTCACCAGCAAAACTGGTTTTCACTTTTGGCTCCTCCTGGCTGTGGCTGGGTAGGGAGTGGGGCCTGGGAGCTGGACTCCCACCCCCTCACCCCCGCCGGGGCAGAGCCCCCAGAAGCTGCATAAAAGGTTAAAGTTACTTTGTTCTATACAGTTTCACAGCCAAACTTTGATGTTCAAGTAATTTTGCGAATAAGAGGTATTCTTATTTTGTTGTTTGCAAGCTGTCTCAAGTTAATGAGGCTGCAGTGGCTCGCGGGGCCAAGGTGTGGGCAGGAGTATGTTTCTGGGGGTGCTGAGCCCTCTGGTCTAAAGCTGCTGTGAGCCCTGTCAGGGCCAGTGGGCCGGTTCTGGCCGATTCTGATGCGTCAGGCCCTGGGCGGGGCTGGTCCCTGGCTGAGGCTGTGGGGTGGCCCAGCCAGCCTGCCACGGTTGCTGTCATGGGCGGTGGGGCAGCCAGCTGCAGATCTTCACTAGAAACCCAAACCCGCTGTGGCGGCGCCTGGGCCCTGCCCTCTGAGGCCCGAGACCAGGCAGGCGGAAGCGGGACTGACCCGGACCCGCAGTTCGAGGGCAGCCCCTGGTTCTTCCTCTGATGTGGCCTGGAGTTTGGGGCTCTGCAGGTCCCCCAAGCTCCCTGCACTCACACTGTGCCTCTCGAAGGAGGGGGCCCTCACGGTCCACATGGCCCCCCTCAGTCTCCTTCCTGCCCTGTGATCACTCCCCCCACCCGAGGTGTGCTTCCCCGGCCCAGTATCTGGGGTGCCCTCACTGATGGGAGACTGAGGCTAAGAGGAAAGGGTCCTGGGGACTACAGTCCAGACCCCCCGACCCCAAGCACAGGCCGCCCCTCCTCTGGCTCTGTCCACTCTCCCGTCTGCGAGGCCCTGACTGGGTGCCAAGGACACGCTGGTAAACAGGAGAAGGAGGTGCGGGACCTCTCTGCCTCTGTCCCCGCCCCTCAAAAGGCTCACCTCCCAGCAGAAAATTCCTGACTTGGGGGGTGGGCAGGCAGGGGCCACCATGTTACCTTCACAACAACCAGATGACCACCTGGGGCTCAGAGACGCTGAGCAACTTCCTGGGCTCACAGCATACAAGTGGCAGACCCCACATTCAGACCAGAACTGTCTGCCTCAGACTCCCATGTGCTCCCCACTCACACTGAGCTCTCTGCCCCTGTCCTGGGTCTTCTGGCCCAAGCCTCTGCGAGATGAATTCCAGAACTGTCCCCGTGCCGTGTTGTAAAGATTAAATTACCTCGTACAGAACGCTTAGACAGGCCTCGGCCAGCTCTGTGGATGGGCTGAGGATGGAGCCCTTGGCCTGGTGAGGCCTCCGTTTCCTGGTCTGGGGGACACCGGGTAGTTAGCTTTGGGGAGGCCTACTAGGGTGAGGGATCTCTGTGTGCCTGCTCATCTCACGAGGCCCCGGAGGGCAGACAGCCTGGTCACCCTGTGTCCAGGCCCATGCAGACCCAAGTGTAGAGCGCACCCAGGAAGTGTTTGCCAAGTGGGACTGGGCTCGGGGGCTGTGCACAGGGCCCTCTGCTCCCTGTCTCCTTGAGCAGGGTCCGAGGAGTTTCCTTTGGCTTGCTGCAGGGTTCCTGCCTGGCACTTAAGGAGGCCACCGCCACTGCCTGCTCTTTGGCCCGTCCTGGCAGAGCCAGGCTCGCTGTGGAAACCCCAAGATTCTGAGTCCTGAGGCCAGAGCCCAGCCCACGTGGCTCTCAGCCATAGTGGGGCTGGGCCAGTTGCCCCACACTGGCCCCCTCTCCAGTGCCTCACTCTCTCTCGTGTGTGGCCGGAACTGATGGCCCAGGAGGCCTCCCCAGGAGGAACTGGTCCTAACCTTCTTTTAAATAGTTACAAACGTCCTAGAAGCTTGTCACCAAGAAGGCAGAGATGTGACAGCAACAAGTGCCCGTGCCGCCCCCTTTGGCCCTTTGCATCCACGTGCATCCTAAGTCACAGGCCGGGGAGTTGCACCTTTGATCTGAAGCTTCCAGCACTGTAGCCAAGCGGGTGGGCAGTCACGGTGGTTAGGTGACCTCCGTGTGTCTGCTCATCCGCCAGCTCTTACGGCCAGGCGCTCTTCAAGCCCCACGTGGCCTGCCCCCCAAAATCAGAGCCCAGTGGCCAAGGTCAGCGGCCCGAAGGCCCGTTGGCCCGAGGCCGGCTCTGGCGCCAGCTCCAGGAAGTGGCCAGTGCCCTGTGGGGCCCAGCGTCCTTCGCCAAGCAGATGGGACCTTGACTGAGGTTTTGAGCACTCATAGACCCCGGGTGTTCCTTCCGGCACGGCCCCACCTCACAGACTTTCCTCCTGTCACAGTTTGCCCTGAGCAGCAAGGGACACTCATCTTCATCAGGTTAACTGTCCACCACGTCTCCACTTCCAAGAGCTTCTGGAGGACCACTTTCTGGAGGACCCCTTTGAAATCAGAGCCATTTTCGCTCTCTCCCGACCTACAGTGCTCACTCTCCCCGTGTCTGGGGTGTGCTCACCTTGTCCCTTGTCCCTCTCCTCTCCCCTTTCCCTTCCTCTCACCCTGCCACGCTGGCTGCCCCAGGCTCCCAGGCTCCCTGCTGCCCACCGCTGCCCGGATTTCTCTGGATGTCTCAGATGCTTTTTTTTTTTGTTTTTTTTTGTTTTTTCTTGCTGAGAAAGATTCACCCGGAGCTATTGTCTGTTGCCAATCTTCCTCTTTTTGTTTGCTTGAGGAAGATTAGCCCTGAGCTGACATCTGTGCCAATCTTCCTCGGTTTTGTATGTAGGTTGCTGCCACAGCATGGCTGACGAGTGGTGTAAGTCCGTGACCGGGATCCAAACACGTGAACCCGGGCCGCCGAAGCAGAATGCACAGATGCTCACAGAGCCTGGAGCTCAGGGCCTGGAGTTTAGGGTGGCTCTGCTGCCCGAGCAGCCTTTGAAGTTTAACTGCTTTTGAAAAGAACAGACCAAAAAAGAAAAACAAAATACAGCAGGAGAGGTGTGGTGGTGAGGGCCCTGAGAGTGGCCAGGCCTGGCTGCTTGTCTGGACAGTGAGGAACCACAGATGGAGGCTCCAGGCTTCCATGGGGGTGTGGACAGCACTGGGGACATGTCCCCGAAGTGTGTTCAGCTGAGGGAGGCAGTTCTGTCCACCCCAGAACCACAGCTGCCACTCTGCCTCTCAGTGATTCTGAGCCCCACTTTCCTGTCTGTAAAATGCATTCTGGTGAGGGGACAGAAAAAGATAAATGGGCAAGCACTTCGAAAATTTTTTCAAGGTCGTTCTTTTTTTTTTTTTTTTTTCCATTTTCTTAATTTAATTTCCAATTTCTTAGTTTTAATTTATTCTCACTGTAAAAAGATTCTATCGTGGCTTCCAGATTTTTCCCTTGCACTCCCAGGGTTTGGGGTGGTGGGCGCGCATGCTTCTGGGGCTGTCTCCTACATACACGTATTCTGCGCATGTGCCACTGCCGCTGTTTCTCCCGCAGCCGTGGCTTGGAGGTGGCTCCGCTGTCGGTGCGCATAGCTCTGTTTCTTCCGCGACGCACAGGCCAATGTGGAGACGTTTGGGGGTGTGCGTGTCTGCCGGCGTGCCCACGTGTGCGCCCCCGTGGGCATGCTGTTGAAAACAACGCTGATGTGCACGTCTTTGCATGGGTATCTTTATGCCTCATGGGAGTGTTTCTGTAGGAGGGGTTTCAGTAGGAAGTGGCCTGGAGGCCTGAGGAACCCACATTCTCATGTTGTGAGTCCTGCATTTCAATGATGCTGAGGTTTTCCTGGAACATGGGATGGGGATGTGAACTCTAAGGGAACAAAGGTTGGTAAAAGTGTCTGGATGTCCCAGCTGGACCCGGGAGGCTGGGGAGGCGGAGGGGTCTCTTAGTCTGAAGGCACAGCAGGAGGTGGGGATGTGGTGGAGAGTGGGTTAGGGTCACCAATTGAAATACAAGATGCACGGTTAAAGGTAAATCTCACATCTACAACAAATAGCATCTTAGTGTAAGTATGTCCCAAATGTCTCATGGGGCATACTTACACACAGGATTTGTTGCTTATCCGAAATTCACATCTAGCTGGACATCCTGGTTTTTTCCTAAATATGGCAGCCCTGGGGAGGGTCCCAAGGTCTCCTCCCACTTTAGGAAGGTGGATGGACTGGGGGACACAGGGGACCCTGGGCTAGGGCAGGCAGCAGGGCTGGGAGGAGACCCTGCCCCACGCTGGACCGTGGGCTCGGGGAGGGCAGAGGGCACCACTACGTGCATAGCTCCTGGCACTGAGAGGCGGACAGAAGGGAGGGAGGGGGGAAACTCGAATCGTGTCCAGTGAAAGCAGATGCTTTCTGGACAAGGTCAGGATGTGGCCGCTGGCTTCCCGGGTGGGGAGAGACTCCGGCTGGGGGCCCTGGTTGACTCCCGGTCCAGTGCTTCTCCTCAGAGCATGCCCCACCATCTGCCCCGGGGCTGTGCCACTTCCCTTCCGGGTTCTGCTGGGGCCTCAGCTGGGTGCCAGCTTTCTCCACTTCAGCCAGTGCACAAGTCCCAGGACCAGGTGCCCCCAGGGAGACCACTGGAGATCCCTGAGAGGCTGGCCATCAGGCCCAACACTACCTGGTGGCCATCGGCCCAAGGACGGGTCTCCCCAGCCAGGCCAGTGCTCCGGCCCTGCTTCCCTCTGGAGCCTCTAGGCCTTGTCCCTCCCTTGTCTTTGGTCCTTTAGTCCCAGAGTCTGGGCAGAGTCCTGCCTGGAGACGAGGGCCGAGCCTTAGATTACACAGGGCGGAATTCTCTGCAGCCTCTGACAGCGCCTGCGGCGGTGGCGGGGGTTTGGCGAGAGGTGGCGTCTCCACGTCTTGAGTTTTCTTGGGAAGGGCTGCTACAGAGGGCTTCAGACAGGCCCCACCCTCCCTCCCAGGCCATTCACAGGGGCAGGCCTGTGCCCCTGACCGGCTGACCACAGCCTGGGGGAAGCGGGTGGGCAGGAGATGGTCTGCAAGGTAGGCCACACTCCGTCACTGCAGCAGAAAGGATCCTAAAGACTGCTGACAGATGGGGAAACTGAGGCTGGTCCCATCCGCTCACTTCTAAGGCAGGACAGTCCCCTTTTGCAGCTCCATCTGGCCGTCTCGATTTTGATTGCCCTCTGGCTCAGTCGTGGGCTGGAGAAGACCAACAAAAAGACACACGTCCTTGGGACGACTTTGAGCGTGGGGTGTTCATGGGCTTCTGCCTCCGTGACCCAGGGTGGCACTAGAACACCACAGCAGGTGTGACCTGGTCTGACCCTGGCTGCCGCGGAGAGGACGCATTAGCGACCCTGCATCACTGTGGTCCCTTCGAGGGGGCCAGGCCCTGGACCAGGCGGGGACTGTGCACACAGAGGAAAGGCCTGGACAGGTTTAGCAGTGTCTGGGGGCAGGGCTGGGTGTGAGGAAGAAGCAACACACCGAGGACGAGGTCTGGGGGCAGGAGCTGGGGAGGCTGTGCTGCGGGGATGCAGGGAAGGGCTTTGGGTCCAAGGTGACTTGGGGGCCTGGACCGGGCACAGCATCTGGGGCTCCCAGACTGCAGGTGACAGGACCCCATCCAAACACCAAAATGTGAGTCGGACAGAACCCATGCCTGAGAGAGGCGCTGGGCTCCGGAGCTGGTGGGAGGGCCCCCATCAGGCCTTCAGCAGCAACTCCTCAACTGGACAGCTTGGCAGAGCCCCCCTCCAGTCCCCTAATCTTGTCCTGATTCCTGAGCCTCAGACAACCCACTCTCAGGATCCTTGGAGTTAGCGCTGTCTGGGCCCCGCCAGGCCCCCCAGTGCAGGGAGGTGTGGAGTCCCCAGTCAGATATGAACCTGGGGTCAGCTCAGCTGGGAGGCATGGGGAGGAGGCAGGCCTCTGGAATGTCGGGGCCTCTGGAAGGTTCCAAATGGGTCTAGTCTTGCTCTGACCTGAGGTGCAGTGAGCAGCAAGGGGAGATGTGAGTACCCTCAGTCCAGTGGGCAGTGGGGAGCCATGGAGAGTTGTTGAGCTGAGCACATGCTCAGAGTCCCAAGTCTTGGGAGGCAAGTGCCCAGAGGGACCAGCAGGCCCCTGAATGTTCGGCCTGGCCCGACCTCCAGAGGGGCCCCCTGTGGCCCCTGTGGGTGCTGCCCCACCACAGAAATGTGGGGTTAAGGCCCAGCGTTGGTAGCTAAAAAGAGATGACAAAAGAAAAACAGTTATATTTCTGTGCTGGGCTTTTCATGCAATCCTGACCCCGCAACAGAGCTGTGGTGAGTCTGTCATCACCCCCATTTTCCTGATGGGGAAACTGAGGCCCAGAGAGATGAAGTGACCTGTGCCAGGGCTCATGGGCATCAAACCCAAGCTCCGAGGAACCAAGGCTGCCCCTCATGACCTTAGCGCCCAGACACCTTCTCGCCAGCCCCACAAGGTCCAGGACCGGGCCGCCGGACAGTCCAGAGTCCAGCTGCCGTCCCTCCACTCGGCTGGCACTTGCTGCGCTGGCCCGAGCGGTCCCAGAGCCCCAGCACCCAGCCCCGGGCTCACACGCCTCCCCCGCCCACAGTCCTCGACCCGCCGGGCCGGCCTCTGCTGCACCAACTGCCAGACGACCACCACCACACTGTGGCGGCGCAACGCGGACGGCGAGCCCGTGTGCAACGCCTGTGGCCTCTACATGAAGCTGCACGGGGTGAGCGTTCGAGGGCAGGGGCGGGGCTGCCTTCTGCCGGGGTCAGGTCACGGGCCCTCCATGCCCCGCGAGACCAGGGGCCCTGGAGGAATGAGGCCGGGGTGGCGATGGGGGCGGCCTGCCTGCCAGTGGGCACCGCGCCTGCACCTTTGCTCTCAGGCCCCTTGTGCAGATGGGCACGCAGAGGCTCACAGCATCGCTGTGGCTCGTCCACGGTCGTTCAGCCTGGGGCAGAGGCTGGACACCCTGGTCTTGCCTCTGTGCGCCCCCAGAGCCCTCGCAGCCCCAGTGGCTCAGTGGGAGTTTGGGGCGGGACGGCTCCTCCTTGCCCCACCTGGAGGAAAGCGCCAAGGTGGGGGTGGGGGGCAGCTCACCAAGCAGGGCAGTGAAGACCTGGTCAGCGCCAGGAGTGACTGCTCCGCAGGGCTCAGATCAGGGCAGGTGGCAGTGCAAGAGGCCCTGGGGTGAGCAGAGACAGGGACCCACCCCTGCCGCCCCTGCCAGGTGCCGCGGCCCCTGGCAATGAAGAAAGAAAGCATCCAAACTCGGAAACGGAAGCCTAAGAACGTGGCCAAGACCAAAGGCTCCGCAGGTGCACTGGCGGGGACCCGCTGGGAGGCGGGAGGGAGCCCAGCCCCCACCCCCTCCTGTGGGGTACGCATGCTCCCTGGGGAGTCACTTTGAGTGTCTCACATTCCACCGTTAGAGATTTACATGTTTGGTTCGAGCATTGTCCTCCCGAAGTACAAATCCCCCCCAACGATGCCCAGATGGCTCTGGTTGGGCAGGGGCAGGGTGGCATGAGCTCGCCCAACAGTGGGGCAGGAGGTCGGGTCGAGGAGGCCACTCCCAGCCCCGCCCCCCACTCGCTGTGTGCCCAGTGCAGCAACTTCTTAAACACCCCACCTTCCTTCCCAGGGTCCACAGGGAACACCACATCCTCCCCACCGTCCTCTGTCCCCGACCCCGAGACCTCAGCAGCCACTTTGAAACCCGAGCCCAGCCTGGCGTCCCCTTCGTGCCCTGGGCCCAGCATCGCCTCCCAGGTAAAGCAGACGGGGTTGGGGGAGTTGTCCTTTCCCGGGAGCTCAGGGCTGGGCACACAGTGGTCATTGGTACCGAGAGTTGACCTGTGGCAGACGCCGTGCGTGTGTCATCACCTCAGTCCTCACGAGGGGTCCCCACCCAGTTCCAGGGGCTGAGGAAGCCCCTAGGACCAACCACCTGGTCAGGAGGCTCCCGACCCCAAGCAAGGCCGCCGGCCGCTCCTGCATCCTCATGCACCCCTGTCCTCCCTGCAGGCCCCCAGCCAGGTGGACGACCCCCTGGCCCCCAGCCACTTGGAGTTCAAATTCGAGCCCGAGGACTTTGCCTTCCCCTCCGCAGCCCTGGGCCCCCAGGCTGGCCTCGGCGGGGCCCTGCGCCAGGAGGCCTGGTGTGCGCTGGCCTTGGCCTAGGTCCCCAGGCACCCACCGGACCCACCTCGCTGCCTACTTGGCTCCAGCTTGGCAGAGACCGCCAGGCCCACCCGCCAGAAGAGGCTGGAGCCAGCAGGACCTCGAGGCGCTGGGCATCCCCCTACACGTCGGCAGGGAGGCCTTCTGTGCAGAGGGCAGTCGGGCCGCAGAGCAGGAGGAAGGCTGATGGGAGAAGTACTCGGGCCCCCCGCTCAGACAGCAAGGGAACCCCCAAATGCTGTCCGAGGCTCTGAGCCACACTAGCCACTCCAGCCAAGACTGACCCGGGGCACCCACCACCAACGTGAATTCTGCTGTCAGCACGGGCCGTCGTCATGTTTACAAGAGCAGCAGTTGGGAAAAACCCCAACCTCCTTTTGTAAAACCTGGATCACAAGTGAAATGACTGAGGCTGGGCAAGCAACAGAATGAGAGGAGCAGCCAGAGGTGGGACCTCCTGAGGCCTCAGAGTCTGTCCTTCATTTCCCACATTTGACGAGTAGAACCATGGCTCAGAGAACTTTCCCTTCTCTGAGCACAGGACTGCCAGGGACAGATGTGCCGGTCATGCACTGTGCCAGCACGCCACCCCAAGGGGAAGCCGTTCACATCACAGTCACCATGGGCTTGTGTATTTATTTGAATGGTTTTCCCAGAGCAGGCAGTAAAGGGCCTTGTTCTGAGTGAATCTGTGTATTGTGACCATTTCTCATGGGCAGAGTAAAGCATCTGGCCCCGTTCTGACCCACCAGAGGCTGGTGGTGGAGTGACCACATGTCCTGGCTTATCTAGGACCACCCCAGTTTGGTCTGTTGTCCCAGCAAGATTATTAATAACACCTTCTTTCTCTTACAGAAGTCTTCCACTCACAGAGTTGGATGATAAATCGGTTGGTCATCGTGGCTAGAGGCAGCCTTCCCAGGGAGCTGAATGGCTACTAGCATTGATGTCAGAGAGGCAATAGGGGGTGGAGGGGAGTGGGGCCTGCCCTGCAGAAGGGTCACAGTGTCACTTCTCTCCAGTTGCTGCCTTTCACTAACAAGACCTTCAGATTTTTCCAGGGAGCCAGAATCCTGGAAAAAAATTCTTTTCCAACGTGAAGTCTTCCAATTGGAAGCTTCCCCCCACCCCCTGCTAACTCTCATTTGGTTCAGAAGTCTTTTAAATATCGTGAGCACACTGAAACAGCTGTGAGCGGCCACCATTGCGCCACCCCGTCTAAAACTTTTCTTTGTGTTTAGAAATGGTCACCTCTGGCATCAGCTCCCGGGATGTGTCCGTTCAGCCTGAAGTTGTACCTCGAGGTTCAGCCCAGTTTACACACGATGCTCTCTTGCCTTTTTTTAAAGATAGATGATGCCATAAGAAAAAACATAAAATAAAAACCTTGATTCTGCTTCCCTCGCCCCCGTCACCTGCGGGATTTCCCAGCCTGGGCCTGCCTGTCAGGTTGGCAGTGAGTTCGACGTTCATTCAGGCCTGGCCGTCTGTCCTTTCAGAGATGTGTACTGGGGCCGGTCTGCTGGACCGTGCTGCGGCTCTGAGTCACATCGGGAGCCCTCAAGAGCGTCTGTGGGACCTAATGAGGCCCGTAAACACGGAGTGCCTTGAGGTCCCTGCCAGCAGGGAGAGACACACTGGGCGGGGCAGGGCGAGGGTCAGTGTGGGGGCCTACGCAGAGAAGTCATCGCTTCGAGGTCAGGCGGAATGGAGTTTGAGTTCCTGCCCTGCCACTTAATGCCCCTCTGGCTTAGGGTTGGGGGACAGGGAGTGAGGCGAGGTTTGGAGCAATGGCAGCCCCTGTGTCGCCACGTGGGTCTCGTACCTCTGACTGGGACACAGCAGGCAGCACCAAGCAGCGTTGGGGTGAACTCCGGGGATGCAGGGGCGTGAGGTATGAATCAGGCCCCAGGCAGGCCAGGCGCCGCTATCTCTCACTGTCTGAATGTCCACAGGAAGTCACTAGCCTCAGTGCCTTGGTCCCCGTCTGTGAAACAGGGATCCCCACTCTCCCACACGGAGGGCTACAGCAGGGACTGCCCAGAGGTGGGGGTCCCCAGGGGCCAGTTAAGTGCAGAGTGTCAGGGCCTGGGGCCGCAGAGTCTGCGTGCTCACCAGTGCCCAGGGGTCCCTGCGGCGGCCACATCGGGAACCACGTGGCCAGGCCAGGCTGCAAAGGAAACCCATCGGGGCGAGGGTCTGTCTAGCGACTCACAAGCAGCACTTGCAGCAAGTGGACTGGGACGGGAGAGATGGAAACAGAATGAGCGGTGCCCGCGGGGCTGTGTCCTGGGTGGACGTGCCTGGTGAGCCAGGGCGTGGCCTGAATGTGAGACGGCTATCCTGGGGAAGAGCTTGCTGCCATCTGGTCTCCATGCCCACAGGGGAGGAAACTGAGGCACAGAGAGGTTAAGGGTCGCCCAGCTGCAGAGGACAGTGCCCCCTTCCCACCTGCTGCCCAGCCTCCTCTCACCCTCTCAGGGCTCATGACGGGGTGTCGGGTCCCCGAGTGGGAAACCCACTTTATTAAATGGGGAGAAGTGAGCGGCGAGGCCTCTGCAGGTCTTCCCAGCCCAGGCTGCGGGGGAGGGCGCGAGGGCGACAGTCCCAGAGGGGAGGAGCTGTGAAAACAGATGGAGACAGCGGCAGCCTCCGCGAGGACCGCGGGCCGGTGACGATGTGGTGGTCGCAGCGGGGGCACCCCTCCTCTGGGCCAGGCGCTGTGCTCTGCACTGACCAGCGAGTCCCTTGACCTCCCCCCTCTGAGGGGCTGGGCGCCGTTCTCTGTCTTGCCTGATGAGAGAAACCGAGGCTCAGAGAGGTGACAAAAAGCACCGGGCCACAGTGGGGCCCTTGTGAAGACCCGGGTGTGCAGGGGACAGCACAGCATCCTCACATCGCAGCACTGGCACCTGGGAGTCCAGGGTCTTCTGTCTCTGCCTTAGTTTCCCCATCTGTAGGTCGGGGAGGGTGCCACATGCCTGTGGCCGGGTGTATAATCCACACATGTGGGCAGTGGCCTGGGCCCTGCAGGCAGTGCTTGCCCTGACCAACCCGAGGAGGGTTCCTGGAGGTGTCCACAGTGGGATGGGCAGGACAGACCAGGTCCCCATGGACAGAGAGGAGGGGCCGGGTGCCCCACCCATGAAGAGGTGTCACCGAGGGGAAGGGGGGATCTGGCAAAGAGGGAAGGAAGAAGCGATGTCTTCCCTCTGTTTTTGTCATTTTTAAGGACATGCCTAGGAAGAGGGAGGCTGAGTGTCCCACCTCTGGGCAGGGGCCTTGCTGCTAAATTTGAGCCCGTCTCCCCGAGTGCCTCTCTGGGGCCCGGAAGCTGTCAGGACCTGGAACCTTAATATAGCCACGGGCACCCCCTTCCTGCAGCTCTTCCTCCCGCCAGCTCGGCCTGCTGCTCTGCCCCCGGTCATAAACAACCGGTGCTCCAGGGAGGCCGGCAGGCGTGGGCAGCCCCAGCCACTTATTAGGACGACAGGACAGAAAGGCCGTTTCATCTGTGTCCCAGATGGCGCCCTCTTCACTCGCCCTCATCTTTTGACTAACGCAGGTGTCCAGGAGCATGAGAAGGGGACCCTCAATCCTGCAGCTGTCCCCTCCCCTCCACAGAAAGTGTCCCCCGGGCCCCCGCGGGGCTCCCTCCTGGGTGCCTGGGGAAGCGAGAAGACCCAGCCAGTGAAGCCAAACAGGAGGCACACAGGGCGTAGGACAGGGGGACGCCCGTGGTTCCCTCAGCTGGGGTTGGTTGACCCAGAGCACCTTACAGAGCACCCCTTCTCCCGCCCCCTAAAGCCCTAACTCTCTGCTTCGCTCCAGGCAGAGCCGCGAGGCCGGAGTGTCCCGGGGACGGTCCTGCAGGGCTTGCTCCTCAACGCAGAAGCAGGCCTCCCGCACGTGTCCTCGAGGACGGAGGCAGGCTCGGGGACCCCAGAGGCGGCCGCTCACCCCGCTGCAGTTCTCGTCGGGGTGCGTTAGCTGCACACCACGGGGTGCACACGGATCCCCTGGGGCCCTTACTGGAGCATTACCACCGGCTCCGCCCCCACAGGGCAGCCTGGGGCCGCCCCTGCAGCTGCGCTGGACCTGAGCGCTTCCAGGTGGGGCCGGGGCTGAGGGTCAGTTTCGCCTTTGCTGCCTCAAAGGATGGCTCTTTGCAAACAGGTGCAAATTCTCCAAGGAGCTCATCTGGAAACGTCGGGCCCCTATCAGGAAGGGACAGTTGTTCTTTGGGGGTGCTTTGCGGGGTCCCAACTTTTTATTTGACCTAAAAAGACATTCCTGACAGAAGGCCAGCTGCTGCTGTCACCGTCATCGAAGACAGGCCATTCTGCCACCAAACACACCGGCCGCCGTCTCGCGGAGGGAGGAGGTCTTCACAGCCCCTCGCTGCCTTCCTTTGCCACACGCCCGAGGACTGTGGCCTCAGGGCTGCCGTTCTCCAGGTGCGTGGACAGGCCCTTGGAAAGGGGACGAGGGGCTCGGCCCCCATGCGGACCCCCTTTCGCAGACGAAGGCCAAAGAGACTGGTGCCCCCTGAGGCTGTGGGCCCGGGATGCCCCTCTTCCCACACATGCACCTCGTCGGGGGCTGAACCCGCCCCAGAGAGGAGGCCCGGCTGAGCCCCACAGTCCCACTGGAGCCGGGTGGGGGCGGCTGGCCCTCGAGGGCCACGCGGAGGCCCTGGTGGGCAGCCCCCCCGCAGTGCCCGGCAAGGCCCGCCAAGACGTTGACACGGACGGCTCCAGCCGCCTTATTTATTATCTGATAAAGGGCTCTCGGCACCACTGGTGGACGGCGTCTGGCTGCGCTGGGGCCTGGGGGAGGGGGAACGGGAGGCCAGACTGGGCCTCCGCACTGGACTCTGGGGCAGGACGCACTGAGGAATCTGGACTTTTCCTTTCCTGGCCAACGGCCTTCCTTCCCCACTGCCCATCGAGCCAGCGGGCCAAGGTGAACCTTGGCGCCTGCACAGAGCAGCCCGTGGGGCCTCCAGGTCTGGAGGTCATACCCCCGAGAACTTGCTGCAAGACCCTTCTACCCCTGGTCCCCAGACAAACCCCAGTTGGAGCCCTCCTCTCCACCCACCCCCTCCCACCCAATTACTGCCACAGCCCCTCCTCCACCCCCACTTGGCCCGGAGCTCGGACTTTCCATGATGCAGGTCTGGGCCTGTTTCTCCTTTGCTTCCAAACGCTCCAGTCCAGGTGCCACCCCACAACTGCACAGCTAGCCCCCCACCGTGACCACCCCGTGGCCTCAGGGCTTCCCTTCCCCAGCACCTGCGTCCACTCTTGGGTGCAGGGGGCACTCGCCAGTGTCCAAACGCATCCTGCCTCCGGGTCTTTGCATGCGCTGTTCCCTCTGCGTGCGATGCCCTTCCTCCCATGCACCTAACTGGTGATGTGGTACTCGAGGGTCAAGACCCCCTGATGCCACCTCCCCCAAAGAGTCTTTCTCAGGCAGTGCTAGGACGTCGCAATCCACAGGTCTCCACCAGGCAGAGCCATCATCGCTGCCCGCACTGCCCTTGCACCATGGAAACAACCTAGATGTCCAACAGGAGGGGATCAGCTAAGTAACTGACCGAAAGTGTGCAGTGAGCCTTTAAAGACCAGAGATCCTAAGAATATTTGACAATTACAACCTATTCTAAGATTTTTTTTCCCTAAACCT